CTAATATCGCCTATATAAAATATGTAGCAGGTAACAAGAGTAAAAACGAAATATAATATAATATCCTTGATAATTCAATAGGTATATTATGCAAATAATATAATTTCAATAATCTTAAGCATATAACAAAATCAGAATATATCAAACACCTACCTACTTAAAATATATGATATACAATTATGAACAGGTAACCATTAAATAATAACTAATGCATTCTAACAGTACCTAAGGTAGCAGGTGCCTTTACTGTTTAACAAATTAATAACATTTTATAGAACTAACAAAAATGATCAGTCTGGCATCATGTGAAACATAATCAAATGATTTTGAAGTTAATGTCTAAAAATACTGTTATAATATGAAAGAAAAATCAAAATCAATCAAACATACATAAAGTTATAATTTGATATTTGCCAGTTTTGATTAATCATTTCTCTGTTAGAAATAAATAACTTAAGAGGTCCCTTAGTGTTTCAGGTGCAAATAAAAAAATATATATTTTCGAAGTAAAATTGGAATAACTGACAATTTTTTTTAATAAAAATGCAAAATTCTTGGCATAAAATTGAAAAAGAATATTTATCCTATATCAATATCATTTGATTTAGAAAAAATATAAAGATATTTATATATAATTATGTACATATATTTATTTTTAAATAAGTTTAATAAAATCTTCTGGAATATAATTTTTACAAATTTTTCACTGAAGAATTTCTAGAGATGAAGAAATGATTATCCAAATGGTCTAATTCTAACAAGTTTTTAATTTTTCTGATATATATATATATCAGAAATATATTATTACAATTATTTTTTTTTAGCAAAATAACGTCAAAATTGACATTTGTACCAATGTTACAGGCATGCTGTGAAACATTAATGGAGAGAAACTTTTATTTTATTGCTTATTTATGCAGGCTGTTTCAGAAAGACCTCCTGTAAATAGAGGGGGTGATATAGTAGGTACTTCAAAAAATAAGAATTTTTTGTCTTATGAACTATTTCCTCTTGTTTTCGAGATACAGAGTGACAAAATAAAATTTTTAAAATATAATTTTTAAGAAAATTTCCAAATAGTGTGAAATATTTTTATGAAATTTAGTTTTCCGGAGTTTTTAAGGACTCAAATACGTTGGTCTAATTATTTTTTGGATATTTCATAGAGGGCGGGATAGTTCATAGAGGGATTCCTATTACATTTTAAGTTATAATTTTTTTAAGGTTAGGTTTTTGCCATTTGGGCTCCATTTTCTAATGTATAATTTTAAATTAATTTTCTAAAAATAATATACTATTGTCAGAACTTCCAATGTGGAGGCTTTTAATTTTAACTCTTACAATAATACGGTGTATAAAATAAGTGACTTTTCTCGAAGTATAGCCTGTCTGAAAGAGCCTGTATAACTACCACATATCTCGTAGAATAATTCCACATGCTTTAAGGTTGTTTTCACTGTATATATTGCTGGCAATGTCACAGAATATACAGGGTGTTTTTGAATGGAGTAGCATAAATGATACCAGTGAATCTACATTTCAATGTAACACGTTTTGCAGAAAATCGCCTTAGTAAAATGTTCACCCCTGAAGAGATATGGGCCATTAAAGATTCCAAAAAAATTATGAAAATTGCCTGTAATTTGAAAACCGAAAGAGGTACAAATAACAAATTTTTTACAGGTTGTTTACTAATACAGATGCGAGTTTTCAACTATTTTTCGAAAATTTTAACTCCTGGGAAGGGGTAAGCATATCCATAAGTACCTAACGTCTGACAATGACAATTTGAGCAATTAATTTCCATTTGTCAGTTAAAATTTTAATATGTAAAATAATGTTAAATAAAATTTTAAATAAAAACAATCGTAGAAAAAATGTTGCGTGCAACATGTGCAAAAAGCATATTTGTTGCACTTAACATGATTGCAGCTCTCAACAAAAAGTATTTAGCTGATAACAGTAACAACTTACAGAATAATTAATTGTGACAACTGGCATGACAGCAGCACACTTAGTTTTTCTTTGATTGATTGCAATCATATACGGTGTGAGGTGAATGGTAATACATTTTATTTTTTTTTATTAATAAACGAAAAGATTTATAGGAAAATTGCTAGAGAGGTAAAAGTTTCTAAAAGAACCAGTTTATCTAATGCGTATTTTTGGATATCGAGTTTTTACGAAATATAAAAGTTATGGCAAAAAATGGCTTGAGGGGTGGTTATTTCAACCCCTTTCGAGGGGTTAAAATTTTCGAAAAATAGTTGAAAACTCGCATCTGTATTAGTAAACAACCTGTAAAAAATTTGTTATTTGTACCTCGTTCGGTTTTCAAATTACAGCCAATTTTCATAATTTTTTTGGAAACTTTGATGGCCCATATCTCTTCAGGGGTGAACATTTTACTAAGGCGATTTTTTGCAGATCGTGTTCTTTTGAAATGTAAATTCACTGGTATCATTTATGCTACTCCATTCAAAAACACCCTGTATATAGCGCTACATGAACAGTTTTTACATGATGCCATAAAATGTTAAAGATACTATATCGCGAAGTCATGCAATATATTCTACTGATATTGTGTATTTATTGTCATATCTCTTGTTATAATACAAATCTATGTATGGCAGACGAGTTGAAACATATGGTTAGTTATCGGTTCTCAGGATTAGTATCACACCTTGTATTGTTTAATGCTTCTTCGACTTAAAATCAATAGCAGAATTTTACAATTTCACTCCATTGTAGTTCACAACATACTGCAACAACAAATGATCATTTTGAGTTCTCTTTACTTGGCTAAACTTATGACCTGTAACTTCAAAAATCAATGCTTATGGTAGTTATTAATTATGCTGTATGAAGAAGTGTTTAAAACGGGAAGCTATATCTACCTTTTTATTGTCAATAATATTTGACCCCTTTGCAAATGGTATATAACTCCGTAATTTGTCTGATCAAAAAGGAAATACTGAAGTTATGAATCTAAATTATTATAGATTACACATTTTTTACTTGTGATAGAACAATCCATTTTGAATCCAATAATGTGTAACAATTTGGTGTAGCAATAAGTACCTGCATATTTATTAGTTGTCAAACATATGGCGAGTGTACATTTTGAAAGAGGAGGAATGAGAAAGTATACCATGCTACTTGAACCGTCTACAGCGCACTATTGGGAGGAGCTATTTCATCCACCATATTACGTTTGACATTACTGTACAATAAATAGATAGGTACTAAGCAAAACTTTTTTGATTAAATTGAATTCCAAATTGATATAAGTAGGTAATTAAGTTTTTCGTTTTTGTATTAAAAAAAATAAATAAATAAGAACTAGTTGTGTTGCAACAATTTTAGTAATTTTGCTGTAATTTATTGTTTCTGGCGAAATAAAACTTTATTCTAATAATGAAAAAATTGCAGTGTCTGTGATGCTTAAATTAGGTAGGTATATATTGATGCTGAAACAACCAAATTAATTAATCATAAACACAATTTTTTCCAATAAGAATGTTATTAAAGTCTGGTTGCTACATTATTGGATTCAGAAAAGCTCCAAGCAAAAAATCTATTAGAAAAACAATTCTGCTTTTAAAATCACAACAAAATTGCAAAAGTTAACTAAGTATAAACCACACACCACTAATTGCTTTAGGTGAATTAATTAAAAAGTTGCTTACAATCACAATTCATAATTATTTTTAATAATCAATATATTATGAATGTGGCCAACAATTAATATACATAAAATTTGAAATATTACTACTATTTATTTCGATATTGAGCAAATGTCAATCATTATCATGAATATGGTGTACATTATCTTTATGTATTTATATTAAAATACTAATAAGTTAAGGATATAAGGAAATAGTATGTATCTATAATTTTACTAACCTAATTAATATGTTATAATAAACTTTATCATGAAAAACATTATACAGGATACCTACCTATGACCATTTACTTTAATTATAAGATAAAAAATTTTAATGTTAACGTGCAGTTTAAAATCATTTTTCCTCACACCTTCATAATAATAAATTGAGCAAAATCGTATATCAGTGTGTCCCGTTTTTCAGGTTAACACCTCTGGAAATGTGAGAAGGCTGTGGACTTTCCGCAAGCCAATTTTTTTTACAAATAGTACCCTACTACGATTTTTTAAAAGGGTCGTTTTTCCAGAAAGTAGTATTAGGCATCTTTTTTATTAAAAAGATAATATTACCAGGCTATTCAACACCCATTAAAATACCCATATACCAAATTGGAACGACAAATGTCTATTGAGTGTTTTTTTATGTGGTGCCAAATTTCGAAAAAACATACAACTAAAAATTATAATAAACAGGTCAAAGATTGCCATGAAAGTGAAAACAAATACCAATCGGATAAAGAAAAAATAAAAAAGTTTAATTAGACTAGAATATCTTCAAATATTCATTTGTTTACTGATTCCTGCAGTAGAAAATTAATTTCCGATATGCAATAAATACACCTGTTATGCTTAAAAATCATGGGAAATTTGAAGTATGTCCACATTTCTGCTTTACACAGTGGCAAACAGTTACATTATTTGTAAAGAAGTCATAAAACTGAACTTTGCATGCCACTGACTTGTATTTACATAAATTATACCTGGTGACAAAGGTCCATGTTACTACTTTCAATGTTAAAATAGAAAAAAAAGTGCTTAACGAGTTTCCAAGAAATGACTGAAAATAACATATTTTTACAACTTCAACACCCTGTATCTGGGGATTTAAAGCATTTGTCAACAAATTTTATATGAACCATCTTCCTTAATTTTAAATGTAGACGTTTCACCAGTTAGTATCTGAACGCGCTGTATATTTTTGGATTCATTAACGATGTATTGCGAATTATAGGAATCTATTGAAATTGTACTTATTGGTGGAATTCAAGTAACTTTTGTGATAATTTGAAATGGTAAGTGTAGTTATATGTATTTAGGTAATTAACGGTCATTCAAATGGATATGAGGATTTTTAATGTGAGACATGTAGTTAGTTGTGGGTAAAGGATAAATACAGGCTGTTAAACGTATATAGGTATCTGGGCATTCAAATTAACGAATACTAATATAGGGTTTTACTAACATTTTTCTAATATGAATAATTAGAACTGAAATTCAGACTTTCTCTTGAATTTCATTGTTAAATGAGCACAGCCATGTTAGCACACTTGTTCAAAAGGCCTCTAAAAGATCCTATTTATATTGACATATCTAGAATTTTTAAATTTTAATCTTATAACTGTTATTAAGCATACACACGCTTTAAATAGACTAGATTTTATAATTTTTGAATAAAAATCATTTATGTATTATAACCACTATGAATATATATCTATATTTTTTTTGTATTTAGTATTCACTTGAGGTTAAAGCACATCAGATTGATTAGTTTGATATGGAAATCCTTATGAAATAATAATTTTCAAAGTAAACGCCCATGGCCAAAATTGAATTGGAAATAAACAGCTTTGAAAGTATGGAAGGCATCTGAAAATAGTGATAAGAAATAACAAAATGTTCGCCTAGTTTTTAGTTCATCTTATTAACACTTTGTTTTAATATTTAATTTTCCTCTTCAACATCTTCAAATCTATCTGCTAATAAACAAAGCCAGTAGATCTTCGCTATTATTCATTTCCATGTTCTGTTTATATCAAAATTAGTACCTACAAATATTTTCATGCTGATGAGAGCTACTATGAGTCGATCTAATGTGTATCAACCTTTAAACTGTTTGATAGTAGTTTTAGTGTACTTCTGTATATTTATACTGGAAAAAAAGTTTTAAAAAACTTGTTTCAGTGTTACATTGAAATGTGTAATAATAGAAACTATATCTAAGACATACGGTTATTTTATCTAAATTATTTCTTGTATTTGAATATTAAAAAGCTCTACAGCTTCTACACTTTTTGATTCAATTTAAATCAAAATCATTTTTTATTGGTATTTAACATCAAAAGGATTTACAACGAATGATACTATAAAATTATCCACAAGATTCATTATTTGTTTAGTTACAACGCATATAAGGGTAAAACAGAGGTGTTGTAAAAAGCGATTCTTAAAATTTCTATGGTCCTTAAGAAGAGGGATGTAAAATACAGTTTTTAATCAATTAAGAATTCTTCAATTCAATTGTTCAGTATTGTTCTCTCACAATGTTTATATATAGGAGGTAAATTAATTCTAACCAGTTAAAACTGTTTAACATCCAATCTTTGAAAAATCATAGAGACCTTTTGAATTATTTTAGGAAATATGCATTTTTATGATTTTGAGGAGAAACTTGAAAGCTTTTCACATCATGTTACACTCCGCATACAGATATCCTAAAAATTGGTTGGCACCTCAAGAAAAACTGACATAATAGTACCTGCTGTTTATCACCTTTTAGTTGAATATAAAAAAAATTAGAATTATGATTTATGACTTCATTTTTGAAGTGCCAACAAGAAAATCCAGATACTGTATTAGGTGATTTTTTTATTGGAAGACACTTATGTATCTGTTAATATTGAGTTTATGCTATGGTTTCTTTTGATTTTTTTTTAATAAATTATAAATTATCTAACAAACAAACCTCAAATAGTTTACTACTATTTTAGTTTAACAAGACGCGGCATTAAATTTTAAATAGGTCAGCCCGTTTTTTTTTTTCATATTATTGCAAATCTATTAATTTGAAACAATTTTGTAAATGGAACTGTATCTCTAAACTTAGAGAAACTTACCTAGAAAAAAAACATATATACCTTTACATAAATTAATATTTGTATCTTTAGGAGGGGATTTTTATAATATGTGTCCTGCCATCCAGATTTGTCAGATCGCATTTGCCTATTTGTCTGTTAGGACATAGATACTTTTCTACATTGGATAGTCTATATTTGTATTTGTATCTTTGAAGGGGCCGGCATTTTGGTTAATTGGTTAATCTTCTAAAATCTGAAAGATCGGGACGTGCAATCACATATTAGGAATGCTTAAAATCCACAGGGGATTTGTAGATGATTGTTGGTTGTGCATATTAATAAAGACTAAAGAGAATAGAGGTGAAAAGAGAACAAGGATGATCGAACAAAACTCTGACTATTTATGCAATTTTATACAAATAGCTGCCATTCAAATATTGCAGTATATTGTCGATGTCTTGTGGCATTAGACTAACAATGATTCCTAACATTTCACCATAAAGAAAAGTCCAACCGAAATCACTGCTACGCGATGGCCACAGCACTCAATTGGGAAATATTTTATCAACATTTTCCAGCACTGTCCATATGTAAAATGATAATATTTTTCAGCAGAGGTTTGATATTACATACTTGGCAATGTTATACATGTCCGTGTTGCCAGGTGTCGAAATAACATGCACTACAAAAAGAAACTCGCAAATGTCTTTGATTTTAGACATTTGAAGTTTATTTTAAAATTAAGGGATTTATAAAACATGTAAAAAATACTGGCAGTCTTATTCATAGCTGCGCAATGAATGCCATATTTTGCTGACAATATGGTAGCGGTGAAGGACTGATGAATCTCCCAGTGCATGTCCTCCAGATGTTTGCACAGTCAAATTTTGTAACAATATGCTTCTTGAATACTCATACTAATCATGTGTCATTAGTGCTCGAAAAGTAAATCATTCTCTGTATGCTATTTTTAAAATAAAGTCACTTCCTATTAAATTGGGAGTAATGGAAATGGAAACTATATTCTGCAATAAGAATTTTACAAATTTTTATTAAATAGCTCCAGTGATATATAGCATAAATTTAATATTAACATAGATTAGACATACGTCTGTTTCTCCCCATAAGGTCTACCAAATATATTAGTGTATTTATTGCTTGGTATTGTATCTAAATAAATAATGATTTTTAATTTACATCAACCAATATGATTGCTATATAAATACCTATATAAGTAAATAACAATAAAAATAAATATTGTCTTTGCAAATCTTCATAAATGCTGTTTTAAAAAGTATGCTGTTCTTCTTTCATAGGTTCTTCTTTAAAAGCAATTGGATAAGGTGTTGACTCATCTAATGATGTAATATCCCTCATGATCAACACATTAGAGGTGTTAGAAGGACTGCTCACATTACCATTTATTAAATGGTCTTGAGGACTGCTTGGCGTGGTTATAGGAGATGTAATTGGACTATCAGCAGAATCACTGGTGCTTTGGTAACTATTTGCATTGTTGTTTGGTACCACAAGAGTAGGGGTACTGTCGACGCTGGCTCCTAAAATAGAATCTGTATCTGATTTAGTTGTATATTCGAAGGGAGTATTGTGAAAAATTGTATGTTAATAGATAATAATCTTAAATTATAAATTTCACTGAATTGGCTATACATAGAATTCCATTCAATATAGTTTGCGTAGAAAAAAGTTCAATTTTTTTAATATTTCCAAGAGGATTTATAGTACAGTGCATATTTACAGGGTAAATCTTAAATGTGTACATACAGGGTATCCCGAAATTAATACAACAAAATTTGATCACAGATTTTTGCCAAGTGGCACCCTCTTTCGGAGTTACCGCCTCCTGAAATCCGCCCTAAGAATGGTCTTTTTTTATATCTCAGAACTCTGTTGTAGGAGAACCACTAAATTTGGTACAGAGGGGTTTTATGACTTGTGGAATCTAATAGTGCTACGCTTTTTGGCGGGGAACTCCCTTAAGACACTTTTTCGTGGGCACCCTTGTCTTTGAAACCAAAAAAAAATTTGTTCGTATATTTGAATTTCTTAAAAATTATTAGTTTGATAGAAAGCCATTGAATTTAGAAACTTTTTTCTCTTTATATTTTTTTCGTAAAACGCAATGTTTTTGAGTGATTCTCATACAACAGGGTTCTGAGATAAAAACAGACTATTTTTAGGGGCAGATTTCAGAGAGCTGTAACTCTGAAAGAGAGGGCCACTTGGCAAATTAAAAAATATGGGTTCCCTAAATTTGTTTTAAGAATCTATGACCAAAGTTTGTTGCATTAATTTCGAAACATCCTGTATATTTTAACTGCAGGTATAATTCACGATGTAAATGAATTCAACGGAAATTATTTTTCAAAATTTCAAATATTTAGAGATATTTATTTTTGTTTTAATCTATCAATCTACATGTACATTTTGAAAACCGTTGTCTGCACATCTTTGGGAGATGCAGTTTTTAACTGAGTCATACTCGACCCACTCCCCAGTTTCAATATTTTACTAGACTTTGTTTCAGCTGTTCCATACTTTTATGTTTGCAATATGTTACTTCAACGGGTGTTTTCAGATTTCAGAGGAAAATCACAAATAAAATGCAGTATGTGAATCTTAGTTTTCATTTTTTTTTTAATTAAACAATGCTGTTTATGAAAATTTGAAGTAATTTAATAACTTGATTTAGAAATATACTTGTTTGAGTTTGAATTGTGCCTCAGAATGGTAGCGGTGTGACGTTATAAAACTTTGCATAAGCTGCCTATTGTTGAACTGAACTTTTTTCCCCATACTTATGTTCAGCTACAGGTTGCAACAGTACAGCCAGGGCCGTTCCTGGGCAGTGTGCTGGTGGTGCCCCGGCACCAGGGCGGCCGAGCTACAAGGGCGGCCGAGCTACAAGGGCGGCCAAAATTCAACTTTTCTGTCCTGATCTTCCCCAGATTCCTAACTAAAAATATTTAAACAATAGCAGCAAAGACTGCAAAAGATAAAATGTAAACTAATTTTCGTCTTATAAATAATGTAGTATTAAATACACTGTTTAAAAATACACTTTTTTATACACTAATGCCAAAAATTAAAGGGTCAAAAGAATTTCCGAAGTTTTTCCGTGATTTTTGACAGACTGTATTTAGGTGAAAAATGGTCGTATCGGGAATTACAAAAAGCATTTTGAAGCTCTAAGATTCTAGTTTTCAAGATATTTCGGTCGAAATTTTTTAGGAGTTACAGTTATCATGCAATTTTAAGAAATAGCGTGATAAAAAAAATTGTAAATTTTCTTTTTTTTTCATCGCTTTAAACGTTCTTTGCGGTAAACACGTGAAAAAACCTCAAAAAAAATGTTTCCATTTTAATCATATTATGAAGTGATTAAGCTCAAAAAACGTGACTCTTTAATTTTTTTCAAAAGTTTGACTGTTTGAAACAAAGAAACGGTCGCTAAATCGAGATGAAACTTCACAGGGTTCTTCTGGGTATAACTGTAAATGTTATGCTTAACATTAGTCATTTCGTGAATATTTCTAATTTAGCCGTAAATTTTCTAAAAAACCATAAATTACCTTTTTCTTCCTGTTTTTTAAATTCGTGTAAAAGATGAAAATTTATTCCAGTTTTCGAAACTACCCTTCAATTCTCTGTATGACCATTTGTCGCCGAGATATCGATGATTGAAGACAAAAGGATCTTTTTCCATTAAAAGTCCGATATTTCGATGAAAAATGGTCGTATCGAAATTAAAAAAAAAAAAAGATATTGAAGCTGAATAAACTAGCTATCTGGTCCATGCAATGGTTTAGCTGCAAAGAAAAATCCGTGGACTGGAAAAAAAAAAGAAAATTTGCAAAATTTCTTTGTCGCGTTATTTCTTATAACTGCATGATAACCGAAGCACCTAAAAAAATTCGACCGAAAGATCTAAAAACTAAAATCTTGGAGCTTCAAAATGCTATGTTTTAATTTCCGATACGACCATTTTTACCTAAATACAGTCTGTCAAAAATCACGGAAAAATTTCGGAAATTCTTTTGACCCTTTAATTTTTTGCATTAGTAAAAAAATTTAAAATCACGGGTGTTTTAAAAATGTCTTTCTTAAACGTTTACGAACAAGTGAACGCCTAATAATTAAACACAGAACCCGAGCGAAACGAATGCTGAGTGCTAAGATTACAATAATTATTACCCACTTATCGGCAGATTTACGACATTTAGACAGGTCAAAATTTGTATATTCTATATTTTGCGAATACCTCTCATACTAGTCGTAATACGAAATTCCTGTTTTCCAATGAGTTCCCATATTAGTTTTAGAGCTTGTGTTTATTATTTTTATGACTTTTTAGATTATATTTTACAGTAGAATATTAGTAGGTTTGTTAGTGCAAAAATAAATCGATCTGTATTTCTAATAACACACCTCCATCATAGTCATTTCTAATCCCTGATATGACATTATTAATAATGTCGTAATGATATGATGGATACATACTACGGGGTAGGGGCGGCCAATTTTTCTATGCACCAGGGCGGCAAGTACCCCAGGAACGGCCCTGATTACAGCTGCTGAGCTAGTAAGTAAAATATGCTGGTTTACACAAATAGTAAATGAGTAAATACGATAATAGTCTTTTCTGTGCAATGGAAGTGCACATGCGATGAAAATTTTATAAGTGGATTGGTACAAAGGGCAAAGAAATATTTCAAATGAATGTAACTTATTGAATCTAATCTTGATTGCTATAAGAAGCAAATGAAGATTTTGTCTTTCAATACCTATCGCAAAATTTGATTTCATTATTATCAGTAGGTAACAAAAAAATATATGAAACAAATGAGTTGTATGAAAATGTGCAACTTCTTCTGACAGCTTTTACGGATTTGCTATGGTGTATCTTAAAAATTACCACTCACCATATAAGATATGCACATATTTCCTAAACTCGTAATTATAACTATAATAACCCTATTTCTAGTTCCTACCCTCTGATATAGTTTGTAATCATAAAATAGTTTTTTGTTAATCTTACCTCCAAGAAGCATTTCTTGTAGTAAACTGTCAATATGTGCAACCCCAAATAGTTTTGCAAATTGGATTTGTTCAATCATCTGCCATGTAATAGACTGAAGTGCTGGAAGTGTTAATAATAATTCACCAAATCTTCCTCGGCTGTCATATTGACGGTCACTAATATAATCTTCCAAATTTATTTGAATTTGATATCTTAATGCCTTGATACGAGCTGGTTCACTTAATCCTTTAGCATCTGAAAAAAAAAATTGTAAACAAATATTTTAAAAATTGCTTATAAATTATTAATTTATCGAAGATTATGCAATTTAAGCATGTAATTAACCATTTATTATTAGACACTTATTTAGGGAATTTCACTAATTCATAACATAACCAGCCATAACTTCTGGAGGCAGTTGCTTGGAATATTTTAATTGTATATAAAGGCTGGCCAATGCTGTTTAAAATAATGCTGACTTTTTGACTGCACATTACGACGGGTTTTTGAGTTGTTATGCTGTGGCCTAGGATTTGGTCGCCAACAGTTATACAGACTTAACTAGCTCTTCTATAGTGTTAGCCAGAAATCTTTGGCCTGCCTTTATTCTTTCTGGGAGGACCCGCTATTAGAACCCCTAGGATGGTCCTGACTAAGTCGCGACAAAACATTGGCCAATAAATTTGTTTGTTTATTGTGCCTCCTATATAAAACTTAAATAAACCACTGTCACTAATGGAAATTAGTATAGGGAAAAATAGAGATGTTACACTGTTCTACTACTCCCCTACATAAATTTTGTTTTTCTGACCTGACATATTTTCGAATCCGATGAAGACCTTTGAAAACTAGTTTTTCAAGTTTTTCAAAGTATTAGCTCATACTCCAGCCATAGTTACAATCAACAATTGGAAGGTGGAGGTGTTAATGACATATATTTGTGTTTTTGTTTCATTAATTAAAAGATTTAATACATTGCAAGATTTTATAAATCTACTGAAGAAATTATGTTGTAAGTTTTCTCTTTATTTTGTTTACCAAAAAAAAAAAACAGTTTTTGAGATTTCTTAGGTCTTAGAAAGTATCATTTTACTTATTATTCATTTAAACAAAGAGCCGTACTCAAAAACGTTTACGAAAAAAGTCTTATTGGTGGATTCTAACATAATTAAATCATCAAAAGTGAAACCATCAGTGAATGCAAAATTAAAAATATGTACTTCAAAAAGTGTAGTCAAATCATACAATTCAATATATTCCGAAATATGTTTCTATATTAATCCTTTCATTCTAAAATTAAAAAAAATCTCAGGCGAGACAGACACCCTAAGTAACACAAATTCTTTTGGAAATATGCAATTACATCTCAATTGTAAATTTTTGATTTTGCAATTTTTAAAATTATTTCATGTATACAGGGTGGATCAATGATGGTGTGACACTTTTAGAGCCGATTCTTTCCACCAAAATAAAAATAAGTGTAATGATTTTTCGTAAAATGATTCTTACAACCTTTACATCTAGGATCCTTGGATTGGACATGAAACAGTTTTTGTTCAATCAATCAAAGACCATTGATACCTACTTGATACAATCCAGTTTTTTCAGTAACTCTACAATTTGTATAAAAACTAATTAATAGCGTCCAAGGAGTTTCAACTATAAAAAAAAGATATTTGACATTGCAGAGAATCATATTTCACAGATTTGCATAAAACTTTTTCAAATAAGAATTTTATGTTCTTTGATTTATGTTTATAGAAACCATTCATGGTTAATAATCCAAAAACCAAAACAATGTTCGGTAAGGTTCAGGCAGCTAAGCATTTAATAGTATCAAAAGAATAAAGTCAAACTTTCCATAATTTTGCACATTTAATTGCTGAGAAATTAGAGAAGTATCTACCTATAAACTGATCAAAAACTGTGTTTCGTGTCCAATTTTTGTAAAACATCGCTGTTACGCCTTATATAAAGACTCAAGACAAGACTATGACATTGATATGATTTTTTATACGATTTTCCAAAAACACTTTTAAACGATGTGAAACTTTAGGTACTTTCCGAAATTATGAACAAAAACAACAAATACAATTGTACCTCTTATTGAAGGCCTGTCATAGATTGAAAAGAGAATTCGCAGACATCATTATTTTGAATAAAATGCACTTGGAGCATAAAAATGATCAAATGAAGCGAAGTATAACATTACGACGTGCCGAAAACAAATATGTTTGTTATATTATTTGCCTAAAATGATGTTTAAAGCTGATAATAAAAAACTAGATAATACATACTTGGGTCAAAAAAAACTATGGCTTTCAGGCAGGCAAACTCAGTATCGTCAATTTGGACTTCAGTCATTGGCTTAACCAGCTCATCCATAATGCGGCTGCCGACCCTGGCGATGCTCAAATCTGGGGATAGGTTACGTTGCTCTGGTAACATCACTGCTATATTGGACATGGTCCATTTAATATTAATTTTGCTCTCCATGTTCGTACATTGTTCTATATTTTCAAACCCAAAAATATGTCATACACATGCCTTTTATCTTTAATACACTTACGTTAAGATACTTGCTATATCCCACCAAGACCAGGACAAAATTTACTAGAGGCAAGCCACACCAGGTAAACCTAGTTTTTTGCTTAAAGGAAAAGGAGATTTTCGACAGATATTGAAATTTATCCTTTCAAAATTTCTGATTGTAATTAGATAGGTACACATAAAAGGTACAAAACAATTTTAGAGTTGGCGTTCCACAAAATTTCAGTCACATATCTGACGATCACATACATTTTTGGTTTGTGGTGGTTTTGACAGATTTGTTGTGATTAGGGTTATTAATATTTTGGTAAGAGTCTATTACCCATCAAAACTCAGAGAATAAAGTTTTTGATTTAAAATGCATAAAACGCAACATTATTTTTACTAATATCTCTATTATATTTAGTTTTAAGTGTTGCATTTCAAACTAAGTTCAGAACAACACTTTCATCAATAAACAAAAATTATTACTGGACATTTTTTAGGTACACGTTTTTAAAATGCATTAGAAATTAAATTAACGTGAAAGGAGGGCAAAGAGACAAAGAGTAATAAAGTGTACTTAGCATACCTACATAAAATGAAATGAATGCTTAACTGTAAATTTATTTAGAATAGAATAAAATTAAACTCCTAATGTCAAGTTTTTCTGATTTTGAAATACATTTTTACAAAGTAGATAAATAGATACAATGTAGATATTTAATAAATTGTAAATTTATAGAATAAACTTATTTTCCGCCGATGTGAAATGTATTTAACATATAGGTAAAAAATAGTTTCTTTTTTTTCAAAACTTTCCAAAAACTAAAATACATGGTTGGCCAAATGAAAACGAAACAGAGCCATTTTCAGGAACTGCGTCAAGATTGTAGAAAAACGCTCAGACCCGTCGATTTTAGATTAAAGGGCGATATTCTTTGCTGGTATTTTTGATTCCGCCACTTTCGCCCCCAAGCAAGGGTAAGCATCACCCCAAAATATTTAAATGGCATTGCGGTTGAGTAATATTTCTTTTGAAAGCTCTTACAATTCTCTTTATGACAGATTTTAAATTTTATAATTCCGCCCAATAAGATAAGAATTTTGATTTTAAAGTTGAAACTTATGTACAAACAATAATTAGTAACGGTAAAAATGTCAGTCATTCGAGTTAAGTACGCCAATGGTAATTATTTATCACTCGTAAAAAAACACAATTGAAAAAAAAAACAAAAATGAATGCTACACACACACACACAATGAACGTAAAATTAGTGGATTCCAAATTATTTTCTAGTATTATTTGGAAGCGTTGGTTGCTAGTTTATTTAATTTTGTTTTTGAAAATTAAACACTATGGTTTATTCCATTGGAGAAAGGGTAGATATCATTTCGCTTTACTTTATGAACAATAAATGTGCGAATAGAACAGCTCAGCTATTTAATGAACAACATCAAGATCGACATGTCAGGAGGAAGTATGTTCTAGAGTTAGTAAAAAAAATTCAAGAGACAGGGAACATAGCCAATAAAAAACGAGAAATTGAAAAACCTATAGTTAATGAAGCTAGTGAAGTTGCAGTTTTGGGACAAGTTCATCTTGATCCTACATTAAGTACGAGGCAGCTGGCATCTGTGTCTGGGATCAATCGAACTAGCATACANTCTACCCCGACCGCAAATGCGGCCGGTGTAGGCGCTTTGTGGGACCTCCTTTTGTCCTGGCTGGGCCCCGCCGGCTAGGGCCCTTTCTTCTGGCGCTCTTCTTGCTTCGCCGGCTCGTCTGTGTAAACCCCGGGGGTAGTGTCATGTTTATGTGTGGTATGGTTGGGTAGGGTAGTGCGGCTATGCAGCCTGAAGTTCATCGTGATCCTATATTACGAGTAAGTACGAGGCAGTTGGCATCTGTGTGGGATCAATCGAACTAGCATGCAAACCATTTTGAAGAAGAATAAATTCCATCCATACAAAATACATTTAGTCCAGGAACTTTGCGAAATAATGAGTGAGCAAGCAGGGAACGATCCACAGTTCCTTTTTAACATCTGTTTTTCTGATGAATGCAGTTTTTTCTTGAAAGGGACGGTAAATTGTCATAATTGCCGATATTGGTCCGATTCAAACCCAACAGTTTTTCACGAGGTGCATACATAGCAACCGGAAAAATTAAATGTATGGGCTGGAATTTTCGGTGACCGGCTGGTGGGTCCTTTTTTTCTACCTGGTAATTTGACTGGCCAAATGTATTTGCCTGGTAGACGCTATTGACCCTGTCTTGACTGATATTATTGAAAATGTTCCAGAGTATGATAAAGATCATTTGATTTTTCAACAGGACGGTGCTCCTCCGCATTATGCGTTAATTGTCCGTCAGTATTTGGGCCAACGTTTTCTACGGAATTGGATTGGGAGAAGAGGCAGCATTGAGTGGCGTCCACGATCATCGGATTTATCGCTCCTTGATTTCTTTTTGTGGGGATATCTAAAAAGTAAAATCTATAAAACACAGCCAGCGTCGCGGGAAGATTTACGTCAAAGAATCGTCGACGAATGCCGTCGAATCACTTCGGAAATGCTTCGGAATATGCGCGAACGTTTCGAATAAAATCTTTATTCTTATGGAAGCGGGCGGTCATCAGTTTCAACATTTCATCAACTAAGTAGTAAGTAAGCGACTAAACATAATTTCAATTTTAAAATGTAAATTTTTTTCAAAGTATTGAGCGGAATTATAAAATTGTAATCTGTTGTAAAGAGAATTGTAAGAGCCTTCAAAAGAAATATTACTCAACCCTCAATGCCATTCAAATATTTTGGGGTGATGTTTGCTTGGGGGTGAAAGTGCGGAGTCAAAAATACCAGCAAAGAATATCCCCCTTTAATCTAAAATCGACGGGTCTGAGCGTTTTTCTACAATCCTGACGCAGTTCCTGAAATTGGCTCTGTTTCGTTTTCATTTGGCCACTCTGTATATATCTCTTCTATTTATATCACCTCAATGGTGTCCTACCATAATTTTTTTTCAAATTTAAGCCAATAAATGTACAATTATTATTTCAGTGGTTGCATTTGTGCCCAGGAATAACTTATGTTACTAAGCATTAACCAAACGGTTAATGGTCTAACGCCAACCGGTGTCAATTTCTCCCGTTAAATCACACTCATGTTCTTCTACACTACTATACCCACAGAGAGGGTTATTCCCTTCTAGGGTATTCATCGATTCAAGTACCAATAACTCAAACCGCACAGCCACCGGCTAACCATATTTACATCCATAGAAAAATTCACAATGAAAACAATTTTTCAATAAATTACATACACAATATTTTTCCAAACTTTCCCTGAAAGTAAGTATTCAATTCCGGTTTTAGCTTACATAAGATTGGTATAATTTTAATAATGGAGGTAATCAAACGAGGCAGACATCCTAAGTAATACAATTTCAATAAGGAGACAGTCATTATTTGCATCTCTGCATTTTTAATATGATTTTATTTATACTGAATGTAATAATGACGTTGCGACACTTTTAGTGTCGATTCTTTCAATAACAATAAAAAAGTAATGATTCTTACAGGCTAAGATCCTTGGATTGAACATACATAATCCAGGTCCTTCACAGTAGCTACCTACCTTTTGTACAAAAACTAATTAATGGTGTCTAAGGGATTTCAACCATCAAAAAGAATATATTTGACCTTGCAGATAATCTTGTTTTACAGATTTGGATAAACCTTTTTCAAATACGATTTTTATATCCTTTGATTTGTTTTTGTAGAAAATTTCACTACAAATTTTCACGGTTAAAAGTCCAAATACTGTGATGAAGATAACCACCGTTTCAGTAGCTTGGTATTTAATAATAGGTAGTCATAAGAATAAAGTAAAACTTTCCATAATTATGTACATAATTAGAAAAGTATAACTGATCAAAAACTGTATTTCATATCCAGTTTTTGAAAAACACTGTTGTGATATCTTTAATAAAGACTCGTGTAGCAGTTAAGACATCAACATGATTCTTTGGAACGTGATGGTTTTTGTACCATTTTCCAAAAATACCTACATTTAAATACCTTACATCCCAAAATCTACTGACTTATCAAAAAGATAGCAAAGTTAGGAGGTGGCTATCACAAATGGTACAGCTTACTAATAAGTTACGATTAAAGTTTCCAATGTCTTCCCAACTTTAAAGTGCTATTGCTGTCATCACACTGAGTTAATTAGGAGAAAATTACTTTGCTCACAGTAAGTTCATAACGATTTTTAATAAGAAAAGGCAAATTTCAAGTTAAGGAGTAGTTTGTATGAATCTAAGTGGGTCTGTTATACTCTTTATGACAAATTTAATGTAAATTTGACGTTCTAGCGACTGTTATTAAAAATTGACAAATTACATTTGCGTTGATTTATTTTCTATAAGATACATATATAAATCCTAACCAAGGTTATAATGACTTTGATATCAGTATTCTGCGATGTATCAGTGAAAAACACATTTTTCTCATCGTTTTCAATAGAACACCTTGTTTTAAATTGGATTGCGCCCATAATGCTTTTCCATTGTGAGCTCAGTTTCAACAATGTAATATATTGCATATAAAAATTACTTTTCTTGTATACATATTACGGTGAAAAACATACCAAAAACATATTTTTAAAAATTATGGAAATTCACAAAAATATTTGAATATCTCATAGTACCCAGAGAGAGTTTATGCAATACCTGGTGTATAATGGAAATATATCGAGTCAAAACCAATTTAACAATATTTATCGGAATTCGAAGGCTATAAATGTGCTTGAAATAGTCGTATTATGTGCATTGTTGTAGTATGCAGGGCCTATTCGCGTATGTTTAGGATATTCGCAATAATTCTACAAAAGAAACCCATAGTGC